CCAGGAGACAATTTATTAATGTCTAAAGGCAAATACTGACAAGATGTCCTTAGCCTGAGATTTTAAAAATACGTATATATGTATGCTAATTTCCTGGATATGTTTATCAGCTTAAAAGCCCTGGCGACATAGTGGTTATGAGTTGGGTTGCGATCCTCAAGGTTGGCAGTTTGAAACCACCAATTGTTCTTAGGGAGAAAGATCTTAAAAACAGTGGCAGTTCTATCCTGACCTATGGGGTCACTGTGAGTTTGGTTTTTTGATTTATCACTTTGTTATTTCAGGTTCCATTTAAGTATCATGAGTGATCTGGCCCATAAGTGTAACACTGTCTCCTCTCTGTGGTTTCTTTCCTCCCTGTTCAGAAAATGTCCCGCTCATTTTTCCTCACTCTAAGCATCAAGTTGGAAGAAGCAATGAAAACATTACCTCTGTCCTTATACTCCTTCCATTTCTTATATAATTTTATAAAGTGGTTCTGATCTTTTACTGGTGATGTCCACTAAGAACTTCAAATTATAATTAGAAATGAAAAGAATCAACAGTGTCTACAATCGATGGAGTCCAAGGGGATAATCCAGAAATAATGAAGGGCTTCCATTTAACTTATTCACTGACAAAAGGTCTCTCTCCTCTTGAGCTAACCTCAGGTCCTCAAACCTGTTCATACGAGTGCACAGTAAGTCACCGTAAGACCTCTTGTTCCCAGGGCATGCTCTTTCCTATTTGTGTTTCTCTGTCAGTACAGTTTATTCTCTTCCTCTAGATTCTATAGTACTCGTATTTTGAATTTCCTAGTTTTCCCACTTTTTTAGTTTCCTTTTTGAAAACACTTCTTCCTTTCAAAAAAGAGATTATATTTCATTGTGGTTTTGGTGGAAGTTTACATCGCAAATTAGGTTTCTGTTTAACCATTTCTATCCTTATTGTTCAATGACACGTGACATTATTCAGTGTGTCACCATTCTCATGCATTCTTGTTCCATTCCCATTAATCAGACTTCCTGGGTGTGTGCCCTACTGCGCCCCCTTACCTATTTCTCTTTTGTAAATGGTCACCATTTGGTCTCAAACACTTTTTAATGAAGCATAGCACTTTGCCTTTCTCATCACCAAAAATAACGTGTCTGTAGAGTGATTCCTCCTCCCTTTCATTGCTGGTAACCAACAGTGGAGGTTGCGATTTTCTTTGTATGCCTATTCATTTTATTATAAAAGTGCAGTCATAAAGTATTTCTCCTTTTGTGATTGGCATATTTCAGTCAGTATAATGTCTTCTAGATTCATCCACTTTATATTTTGATAACCCATTCTGTATAGCTACGTAGTATTCAATTATATTTATGTACCACATTTGGTTTATCTGTTCATCTAATACTGTTTCCTTTTTTTGTCTTTTTAACAAAAATCATTTTATTGGGGGCTCGAATAACTCATCACAATGTGTCAAGCACATTTGTACATTTGTTGCCCTCATTCTCAAAACATTTGCTTTCCACTTGAGTCCGTCAGCTCATTTTTTTACCCTCCCTTATAAACCCTTGATAATTTAGAAATTATTTTCTCATATCGTACACTGTCCAGCGTCTCTCCTCACCCACTCCTTGTAATCGGTTTCTCCTTTCTACCCCACCTTTCCTCCACCCTCCCGGTATTGCCACTCTCACCACTGGTCCTAAAGGGATCATCTGTCCTGGATTCGCTGTGTTTCCCGTTGCTATCCGGACCGGTATACATCCTCTGGTCTAGCCATATTTGTAAGGTAGACTTGAGATCATGATGGGGGGAAGAAGCAATTAAGAGCTAAAGGAAACATATATTTCATCAGTCTTATACTGCACCCTGACTGGCTTGTCTCCTCCCTGTGATCCTTCTGTAAGGGGATGTCCAATTGCCTATACAGTAGATGGGCTTTGGGGCTCCACTCCGCACTCCCCCTCGTTCACAATGATAGGATTTTGTGTTCTGGGTCTTTGATGCCTGATACCTGATCCCATCGACACCTCATGATCACACAGGCTGGTGTGCTTCTTCCATGTGGGCTTTGTTGCTTCTCAGCTAGATGGCCATTTGTTAATCTTCAAGCCGTTAGGACTCCTATATCTTTTGATAGCTGGGCACCATCAGCTTTCTTTACCACACTTGCTTATGCACCTGCAATCTTTTCCATTAAGTGAGCATCATGAAATGTCAGTTTAATTGAACAAAGTGTTCTTGCATTGGAGGAGTACTTGAGTGGAGGCCCAGTGTTCATCTGCTACCTTAATATAAATATATTTACATGTGTCCATGCCTGTATTTAGACCTCTATACATGCCCTTTGCCTCCTAGTTCCTTCCTCTTTCCTCTTATCCCACTATCATACTCAGTAATTCCTCTTGGTTACATTGCCCATGACCAAGTCTGTAAATACTGTTTCAATGAACACCGCTATGTATCTATTTGTGTTTGCTATTAGTGCTGAGCTACACAAAGGACTTTTAAAAGTGTGTGGAAAAATGAAATTAGAAGATAATGGAATTTTTTAAAGTTTCATTCACATAATTTACATGTAATACAATTCAATGGTTTAAACATTTAAAAAAGTTCTACACTCAGCACCATACTCAATTTTAGAACATTTTCATCCTTGTACTCATTATTAGCTCCCTATTCCTCCCCCACATCCCCTGCTATAATCCAAAGAAGCTATTAATTACAACTATTGTCATTTTATCTTCTTGAACTTGTAAAGTCTCCTTGTATACTATTTCTACTAATGAATCTACTAGCGAATCATTTCTATTTATAGCTTTTTGAAGAAAAACCATTATTTTCCATAATGGTTGTACCATTTTTAATTATACCAGCAGTGGATAATGATTCTAGTTCTAGTCTCCCTATAACTTCACACAGTTTTTGTTTGATAATTGCCAACTTTTTAGGTATGAAATCGTTAAGACTTGTATCTCTCTAATGATTGTGAGCATCTTTTCACATAGTTGTTGGCCACTTAAATGTCCGTGTCTCTACTCATTTTTTAATTGGATGTCGTCTTGCCATTGTCAGTTTTCTATATATTTTAGAGATTAACTTTTATTCAGTATGTTGTTCTTAAAGATTTCTCCAGTTGATAGAATTTCATTTTAATCTTAATAAAGTCTAGTTTTATCCGTATGTTATCTTCCATTGATTTTAAGAGCTTCGCTTCACCATAGAGTTCTCAGATCCATTGAGTGAGACTTTGCCTATCGTGTTAGGTATGGGTCCCCTGTCGTTTTCCTGTACATGGACATCCAGTTGTTCTAATACTATGTGTTAAAGCGTTTCTTCCCCTATTGAAGAGACTTTGACCAGTTGTTAACTTTCAGCTGCCAGTATAGATTTACCTGGGTTGGATTTACTTTGAGTTTCTTAATTTTATTCCATTGTTTCATGTGTCTATCCTTGAACCAGATCCATTTCCTGTATATACAGGTGTATTTTGATTATTGTGGCTATATAGTAGCTTCCATTTTATCCTAAGGGATAAAAAATTAAATTCAAATCAGGGAAAATAAAAATGTAGGTTTTATTGTAGCTTAAAAAAAATTTTTTTTTTTACTATTTTTGGTGTATATGATCATTAGATTGTAATTAACTGTAATGTTTGTTTAAATACAGCAGCTGCTCAGCCAGGAACTGAGATCTTTAATCTGCCAGCAGTTACTACCTCAGGTAATAGTCATAAGGCCTTTTTAAATCAATATGAAATTGGTATAGTCTATCCAACAGTTGATTACTGACTTCATATCGAGACTATTCCAATATGCAAAGATGAATTATTATCTCTGCTTTTAAATAACTGATCATTTAGTAATGGAAGAAGTAGTCAGAAATAAAAATTGAGTTTAGATTCAATATTTACTGAATGAAAAATGAGCAAATAGAATCAAAACTATCAAAGAACATTGTAGAAACTAGGTAATTGAAAAAGACAACGTAATTGAGTAGGTTGAATACAGGTAAATAATTGATTGCGTGGGAAAGACAAATTTGACTGTGTTATCATCCATTCATATAGCTAGTCTGTGGATTCTCAATCGTGTTTCAGGCCACTTAAGCGGTCGTATCTCAAGTGGGTTGAAAGGACTGTAAGTAGCCTTTTTTTTCCTGTTTCCTGATAAACAAGTGGAAATGCTTTTGGTTGTGTTTCTCAGGCTCGGTAAGTTCTAGAGGGCATTCTTTTGCTGATCCTGCTGGCAATCTCGGACTAGAGGACATTATTAGGAAAGCTCTCATGGGAAGCTTTGATAACAAAGTGGATGATCATGGAGTTGTCATGTCCCAGCCTGTGGGGGTAATACCTGGTAATAACACCACCTCAGTTGTGTCCAGTGGAGAGACAAGGAGAGAGGAAAGGGACCCATCACCTAATTCAGGTAAATTTTACTTTTTGTGTGTGCTCTTCTATCGCTTTTCCTAAGAGAAGGCCAATGTAGTCACTAACTTCTGAGGCAGAAATTGTCTTTATGTGTTGTCACATTTGTGGGTTTTAGGTATTCTTTATAAAATAATTTACTCTCGAGATCTAATTAAATCTCGTTAAAATATTTGTTTTATTTTAGTGTTATTTTCCTCCTTTTCAGCAAAAGATTTTATTATCAGGAAAAAGATTATAAAATCAGTTGACTCCTTTGTCTGAAAGATGTGCATTGCCTTCCCCTTTCTGCTATCACCTTCAATTGTTATTGATTTTAAACATAAGGATTTGGATGTATTGGTGTATTTTAAGGTCAATGTGTGTCTGCTGTGCAATTAGGTATCCTGATTATACAGTGGTTGTATAGTGGTATCTCTTCTAAGGTTTACTTTTCTTCAGATTTTTTTTAGTGGGGTAGGGAAGGGGGAAAAATGAGGAATTGATACCAAGGGCTCAATAGAAAGTAAATGTCTAGAAATGAACAAAGGCAACATATGTACAAACATGTCTGATGCAATCAATATATGGATTGTAATGAGTTGTAAGAGTTCCCTATATATATTTTTTAGTATATCATATTAATCATTTTATTGGGGCTCTTACAAATCTGTAAGAACTTACAAGCGTTCCTCCATGTATGTTTGAAGAGACAAGTCCAGCTTACACTTTTCTCAAATTATTCTGTAGGCTGGTTCCTTTTTCATCCTCTCTCCTTCTGGCATCCATAATCCTACAAGAAATAGAACCATTATCACACAAAAAGGGAGGAAAAACTTGGCCATATTTCTTGTCTGACTGAATAATCCTTTATTTCAATAAATCAACCATCACAGTGTGTTGGTATTGATTATTCTATCAGATTTTCCTGATAGGGGAAGAAAATCAGCTTTGCATTTGAAGCTGATTTCCACCTTCCTATAAATGTTCTCTTGAAATATTGTTTCTCTTGCTGGGCTCCCTCTATCTTTTACCACAACTTGTCTGTCTGTTGTACTGTAGTAGCTAGCATGTTGCCGTGATGTTAGAAGAGATGCCACCAGTATTTCAAATTCCAGCAAGGTCACCCTTAGCAGACAGTTTTCAGTGACACTTTCAGAGTAAAGGAGACTAGAAAGAAGGAAGTGGTAGTCCCCTTCTGGAAAATTCTAAAATAAAAATAAAAAAACAGCCTAATGCCATTGAGGCAATTCCAACTCATGGCAACTACAGGACAGAGTAAAATTACTCTTTTGGAGCTGACCTTTTGGGTTCAGCTCAATGTGTAACTCACACCTCTAGGACTTCCTAAACCCACTGCCATCAAGTAATTTGACTCTTACTGGCCCTATCAAGGTTTCCAAGGCTGCGAAAAGCAGATCGCGTCATTCGACAGCACCTTACGTAACCAGTCCAGTACGTATCAACAGCACCACTTGGTCTCCTAATAATGGGGAAACATTGTCTGTTAACAGTGCAAGAGATGAGGCTCTCCAGTTGGAAGGCACTCAAACACAACTGAAGAGAGCTGCTTCCTCAAAGTAGTCAACCATAATGGCACTGATAGAGCGTAGTTTTCAGAGTTTTTACTTGCTGAGCGGCATAACTCAAAATGAGAAACAGTAGCTGTGCAAATGTTTATTACCGTATACACTCATGTATAAAGCTGAGTTTTTCAGCATATTTAAAAAAAATCATTTTATTGGGGGCTCATACAAATCTTATCACAATCCAGGCACACATCCATTGTGTCTTTGTACATTTGTTGCCCTCATCCTCAAATATTTTCAGCACATTTTTAATGCAGTTTTTGTGGTAAAATTAGGTGCATTGGTTGATATTCGGGTTAGCTTATACTTGAGTATACACAGTAATAATCAAAATATGGAATGTGTGAAGTATGACTAGGAATTTTGGAAGTCATCAAAAATGTAGTAAGATCAATATTGTAGATAGTGGTCAGTTGACCGAGACTGGTTAATTGGCCAGTTTGAATTAGATAATCATAGGTTACTATACCCAAAAATGGCAAATTAGAGTAGAATGGCATTGGTTTCATCATTCACGATCTATGCTGAAGGCGCCTTGGTGGTGCAGTGAGTACACAATGGGCCTCTAACTGCAAGGTCAGCACTTTGGAACAATGGGAGAAAGGTGAGGCACTTTACTTCACATCAAGACTTACAACCTTGGAAACCACTCTGTCCTATAAGGTCACTAAGAGTTAAGTCATCCTAAAGTAATATCCATATACTTTACAAGGAAAACCAATTAATACAACTACTATGCAAATTTGTCTACCAACCACTAATACCCAAAATAAGAAAATTGAAGATTTTCAGCAACTTCTTTGGTTTAAAATTTATCAAACCCGGCAATCGAGGTTCATGCATCATTACTAATTTGAAATGTAAATGTTGGAAAGAGAGGAAGAATTGGTACTTGGACACTGTGGGCCTTAGTGATAGGAGAATGATCTGGAATCACATAATTCTATTGTATAAGTAACAGCTATGGGGTGGGATATCAAGGTTCATTGAAATACTATATTTTAATTTCCACTTTAAACAAGCTTTTTAAGTCCCCTCAAAAATGTGGACCTCATATATAACAATATGTAACGCACTAAGAATTCAGGAAGGTGGGGGAGGGAGGGGTAAAAAAAGAGAAGCTGATACCAGGGCTCAAATAGAAAATGTTTTGGAAATGATGATGGCAACATAGGTATGTACAAATATGCTCCATAATGATTTTTTTAAAATGTGGACTTAAGAGAGAATACAACACAAGAATCAAATCCACTTCATCTGTGGAAAGAGAAGTGACCAACTGCATAAAAAACATCACTTGCTCCCATGAAAGAGTTGAAACTGAAGAAAATTAAAAGAGCCAAAACATGATGATCTTCAATCATATCTGAATTTAGAGGCCATCTGAAGAATAGATTTTGATGTATTCACTGACTACCAGATGAGCTGTGAGATGACACTGAAGATTTCATATATGAAGAACATAAAAGATCATTTAAAAGAAAAGACTTGCTTCTGGGATGTATAATAGCAGAAGTGAAAGGAAGAAATGATTAAGAGATTTCAAAGTTGCTCAAGAAGCGAGGTAAAGTGCGAAAATGCAAAGACATGGAGTTAAAAAACCAAAAGGGAAGAATATGTTCAGTATTTCACAAGATGAAAGAACTGAAGAAATTATTCTTGAATTGCAGTATTTAGGGGTTCTTTAGTCTAAATATTGAACAATTCAGGAAACATCAAAAGATAGAAGGAAGATTTAGTAATTGTATCAAAAAGAATTGTTTCACATGCAACCATTTAAGAGGTTAGCATACAATCAAGAACTGTTGGTACGGAGCGAAGAAGTCCACGCTGCACTGAAGGCATTAGGGAAAATAAGTTTTTCCAGGAATTGATAACGCCAAATATACAGATGTACCTCTCGAAATGTTCACTCATCTGTCTCCCCAAAATTGTAAGACAGCTACCTGGCAACCAATTGGAAGAGATTCATTCATGTTCATTTCAAGGAAATGAGTTCCAACAAAATGTGGAAATTATCAACCAAATTCATTAATAAAAATTTACTGAAGATAGTTACAAAATAGTTGCAGCAGTACATAAACGGGAACTGACAACTATCATCGGTGATTTCAGATGGATTTTAGCTGTTAGCAGAGAATACCAAAAAGATATTTACTTAGGCATTGTGTTGTGTGGATCAAAACAAATTCTGGATAACTTTTAAGACTGGGAATTCCAGGACATGGTAATTGTACTCATCCAAAACCTATGCATAGCCCAGTAGGCAACTGTTTGATTAAAATAAGAGAGGACACTATAGTTTAAAAAGCAAGAACGGTGTTTGGATCAAGTACAGTGAAAGCATGTTATTGTGACAATGAGCATGCTATGCAAATATATAGAACATGATACAACCTTGGCTGCTTGAAGTAATTACTGATAAAAATCGCAGACTTCTGACTTCAATTTGGCTAACACCTCAATTCTGACCCATAGCTACCCAATAGGACACAGTAGAACTCTGCCCCTTGGGTTTCCAAGGTTGTACATCATTAAGGGAGCAGAAGCCTCATCTGTCTCCCATGGAGCAGCTAGTGGGTTTGAACTGCTGGACTTGAATTAGCAACCTGGGCTGCTATACCACCGGGGCTACTTTTAGAAAACATAAGTCCATAACATCTAGACTATAATAAGCAACATCATGATAAATGTGAAAGAGATGGAAGTTTTCACACATTTCATTTTACATGGATCTACAGAAGTGGAAATCAGACGTGTGTTGGATTTGGGAAATTTGCTGCAAAAGAGTTCTTTAAAGTATTAAAAAAGCAAAAATGTCACTTTGAACAATACATGATACTGTTAATCATCTCTGTGAAAGCTGGATAAATGATAAGAATGACCAGAGTTATTGACTTTGAACTACTATCTTGGCAAAAAATATTAAACCATACAATACCAGAAAAACAAATCTATCCTGGAAGTTTGCACAGCAATACTTTTTAAAGCTGGTCTGGTGAGAAGAGGCTTTGAGAAGAAAAGACACTCAATGACAGGGATTCAGAGGCTAATACAGTGGGCTCAACATAGAAAAGATTGTCAGGACGGCATAGAAGCATGCTTTGCTTTATTGTATATAGGGCTGCTATCACTGGGTACTGACTCAAGGACACCTAACAACAATAATTCTATTTTTGCTGATAGTCTTTAATCTGTATATCTTTAATACTTAATTACTTTAGTCATCTTGATTTTGTCACTCCATAATACCAAGGACTTGTTTTTTCCTCTTTCTAGCTTGAGGGCCTGCTATCCATTTTATTCTATTCCCGAATAATTTAGGCATAGGGTAAAATTGTTCTTGGAATGAGGAAAGTTTGCTGGTGGACTAAGCTCTGGTGTCTTTGAAAAATTCAGTGTATTGTTCTAGAGCTCAAAAATGTACTCTGGTGAGGCAGTAGGTTAAACATTGGGCAGCTAACCAGAAGATTTGGAGGTACTAATCCACTAACCATTCCATGGGGAAGATGTTTCTGCAAAGATTTAGAGCCTCAGAACAACTTAGGAAGCAGTTCTACTGTATTCTGTAAGGTCACAATCTACTCAATGGCAATGAGTTTGAGTTTATTTTTGTTCGAGAGCCCAATCAGGTTATCCCAATCCTCTGAGCGCCAACTGCGCTCACCAACTAAACTGTCTTGAAAAATGAGGCCACCAAGTTATTAAGTTCTGCTGAGGGTCTATCATGGCATCAAAAGGCTTCTGTTTCAGGTTTTGGTTTAATACCTGCGTACTAAATACTTGTAGTGAGCATCCCTATAGATTTGGGGGAGGTGAGGGTAAGGTAGGAGACTTGATGGAACAGTGGTTATAGCACTCAGCGATTCACCCAAAAGTTGGTGGCTCCAACCAGGGTTTTTATCTTGTTTGAACCAGGGCTTCAGATTGGTTCAGTAATGTTTATCATAGCAAAACTGGAATACACCCGAATTTGTAAATTGTGGGTGCCACCAGAAAGGAAAAAATTGCAGGTGTAAGTGTAGGATTAGCTACTTAGAAGAGAGTTAGTAAAAATCCAGGACTCAGGAGAGTAACATACATTAATTATAAACTTTGTGGTAGACTGGGGCCATCTTTGAGAAGGGCACCCATTCCAGTTCCAGACTCAGGAGATTCAGTTGCTTTGCCACATACACAATGCCGTTGTTTCTTCCAAGGAGATTAAGTTTCCCAGTAGGGTACTGACCCATAGTCTACTGCCAGACCACCCTCTCACTGCTAATCAACCATTATTTCTTCTTATCCAGTACACTTACACTAAAAAAATCTGGCCCTATTTCAGTTTCACAGTGACAGTTTGGGAAACTATGAGGCAGTTCTACTGAGGGCTAAGTGCTCCTACGAGCACAATGGTTTTAAGCATTTGGCTACTAAAAGGTTGATGATTCAAACCCACCCATGGCTCCAGTAGGAGCTCTTAGCCCTCAAACCACAGGAAAAAAGAACTGTTGATTTGTTCTCATGGATTTGAACAGCCTAGGAACCACCTACAGGGCAGTTCCACTGTCCTGTGGGCTCACTGCCAGACAGCACACAGCAGGAGGAAGGGAGTGAGGATTTAAGGTTTTTGCCATGTTGACTTACTCCTCAGCATACCTCCTGCACAGCCAAGAAAGAAACTTTGATGTTGCAGAAATTCAGTTTTTTCTGTTAAATAGAATTTGTCTCATTGGGTCCTAGGATCTGGACTCTTTATTTACCAGTTGATGTTATCACTCATTAATGTTTAAGAATTTAAATGTGAGGGAGGCTTCAAAAATTGTGGAAAAATGGAATTTAAATATAATTTTTTCACGAACTTTTTGAAACCCCTTTGTATTGTATGTCAATTGTTTAATTTTACTTTCAGGAGGAGGAGTTTGCAAACCAAAGTTGATCACCAAGTCCAACAACAGGAAATCCAAATCTCCTATCCCTGGGCAAGGCTACTTAGGAACAGAGCGGCCATCTTCAGTGTCCTCTGTGCATTCAGAAGGGGATTATCATCGACAGACACCAGGCTGGGCCTGGGAAGACAGGCCCTCCTCTACAGGTGAGTAACTTAATTTCTATCAGTACTTACATGGTTATGTCACGGAAAACTGTCTCCATTACGGAATTGTTGGATCGATTTCACTTTATATGTGTAATCTAAAATTTTCAAGAGTGCTAAATTTGATGACCTCAAATAAAGGAAGAGCTAAGACAACTATCAACCACCCTTTTGCAGTATGCTGGTAGCCAACATTTGCTATTTGTAAACTAGTCTATAGTTACATTTCTTTTCACAAACTACTCTGTTGTAAAGCAACTTTATTGTTAGTCTTTCATATACCATATATATTCAAGTATAAGCCAACCCACCTAATTTTACCACAAAAAGTGTGCTGAAAAACTCGGCTTATATAGGAGTAGTATATACCAACCACAAAAAGTTGTTAGAAAAGAAAAAAAAGGTTGCTAATGTTTTCTATTGTGTTATGAGTTTTTAGGCCACCTTTTTGTTAGGGGTTAAATATATATAAATGTCTCTCTCCTCCCTTTTAAAACTGGTAAATTCTATGAATAATACTAAGTATTACTTTTTAAAAATCGTGATTGGTTGTGTACTAGGTCAAAAATCTCTAGTTGAGGATGACTTTCGAGAAGAAATTATTATCAGACCATTCATGAGGTTAATGACCTGATGAAATGGTAGGTGTTCAAAGTAACACGTCTCTTAAAGGGAGAGACTAGAAGGTGAGGTATGCCACTTCTGCTGCCCTCCAACTGTTTGAACCCTAGGCACATGTAGCCCTTGCTCTGGGGACTATTTTCCTGTCACTCTGTAAAGAGCCAAAACGTTGTTGGTATAACCAGACTATACAAAGAGGCTTGCAGAAAAATGGAATTGAAAGTTGAAAATGTCCACAAACTTTTTGAAGCCTGCTTGTATTTCAATTAGTACTTGGTACCCTGTACGGAGTACTTAGTTTACTTAGTAGGTAAGTGTTTCCAAGGAGAATCTAACAAGTCAGGACTTTTTCTTTTTAGCTCAGTTAAGACTCATGAGCCCTGTGTCTTGTCTCACAGATTAGCTAGAATCTAAGTGAAGTCTTGCCCTTCTGCGTTAGATTCGGTTCTGTCCATCTCAACAACGATGCTCAAGACAATGAAAAATCTTCTCTTTTGTCAGGCTCAACTCAGTTTCCTTATAACCCTCTGACTATGCGGATGCTCAGCAACACACCTCCATCATCAACTGCATGTGCTCCTCCTCCTGTCAACCAAGCAGCTGCTCACCAACAAAACAGGATCTGGGAAAGAGAGCCTGCCCCACTGCTCTCAGCACAGTATGAGACACTGTCGGACAGTGATGACTGAACTGTATGGCGAATGATACATGGGAAGGGATCTCTGGTTTTGGTTGTTTTCATTGCAGGCTCCAAAGCTCTTATGACTTGTGCCCAGAGACTTTCCAGGAGAGCCAGGGCTACAGTTTAAGAATGGAAATTTATTTGGAGAGCTGGGTGGGGGTACCTTTGAAATGGGCAGTTCAGTGGATTATAATAATAGTGGAGGGTTGAAATGTTGAAGATAAATATGTAGAGTTTTTTTTAACAAGTGGACAATTCCTATTCTTACATCTGTTTGTAAAGAAAACCATAATGTCTTTAAATCATTTTTCTGTAAATAGATTCCACCTTTTTTGCAGTGTTTCCCCTTGCTGTAGTATCTGATGTACTTATGTTCCAATCAGCGCATCTACTTTGGGGGTAAATTTTAAAAACCTTTTTTGTCTATCTTTTTAACCCTTGCCTTCTAAACAACCTCATACAGCCCAGTTATCTGATGTTGGCTGTCACGGGCATTGTACTTTTATCTGATTTTATGTCCTCTAAATTCAGTTTCCCAGTGATGTTTCAAATCTTGTGAACTGTTTAAATTTTTAACACAGACCCTTGTCACAAAAGGTGTACATTAACATACTAGGGTCAAAGGGTAGGAGAAACAATTCTTCCAGCTTGTAAATTTCTAGTTCAGGCTTTAATATATAAATATTTTTTTTAATTGATGAAAATATTACTGCATGGGTATGTTATAGCACAGTTTTAAAGGCTTAATGTATGCATACCTCACTGTTATGCACACTGGTAATTTAACCATGCCCTAAATACTCCTTTCTCCTGCATTTGCTGCAGCCTAAGAAAGCTTTTGTTTTGAAATAAATTTGACTACCCTGTCCATAGCTACAGTAGATTATTTGTGATTTAAGGCTCTTTTGTCTCAGGGTGCAGTGGGAAAGGAAGCCACCTTTCTTTAGTGTGATGTATTTAATTGGTTGATTTTAAAAGTGAGGACTACATTTTAAACGTCACCCTTTATGGGGTTTCCTTTCCGGCTACAGCATGTCAGCATTTATTCCCCCTTATTCGTGTGGGCAAGAATTTATTGTTAGATATTTTCATTTCATTGACTCGCTAGAGGCATATAATTTAAAAGATTGAATTTTGAATGTTGGTGTTATTATTCATTAAGAATTCTTTCAGATATATTTCAATTATATGGGAAAGATATCAAATTACCCTTCCCAAGATACTAACGGTTTTGGGAGAATGCCACTTAGAAAGGAGAAAAATAAAGATCTCTCAGGAGGCAAAAAATTTAACACTTTATGACATTTTAAGTATCTTCTTAAAAAGCAGTCCTGGCTGAGTCCCTCTCTGGCAATAACTTGCTTTATATGCATTCTCAAAAACTCATTTATCAACCTTGTAAATAGTGATGTTTATCCCTACTATATGGGTGAGCAAATAGGTTCATTATTTCTCCCACATAATTAATAAGTGACAAGATAAACACAAGCTCTTAGTTTTCTGAAAGTAAAGCCTTTACTCCAGTAACTGCCGCCACTCTGGTACTTGAGGTCCTCAAAATCAAAGTTCCTATTTTAATATAGATAAAAAACGGTGACTGAATGTTCTACCTCTTCAAAGTTTTGCTTAATTTTTTTGGTCAAACAAAAACAGATTATGATGGTATGGTTCTCAAGGCTAGAGAAAAACTAAGATTCCAAGTCTGAACAGTAGAACAGAACCTGACTTACTTGTTTTGCAGTTCTACTTGAGGACCCCTGGGTGAGCTGCTGTTAGTTCCTCCCTCCACTCCCACCTCAGTGCATGTGTGTCACTTCACCTGGAGAGAGTGGGGAGGTAAAACTCAGAATCATTTCTTAGTTTAAAGTAGTGAAAAGACACAATGTTTATATGCTTACCTGTGGAACAAACCACAGAGAAGGGTGGAGATATCAACCTCATCATGATCTAAGTGCCAAGAACAGCACTACGAGTGAATGATGACTTGTTGGTACTAGCAGTAACCAAGGCAGGCATAGTTTTTCAGTGTTCTAAAGCCACATTAGCACTCCAAATTAAGGTCTTCCTAATAATGTATATAGTTATACTGAAGTCAGTTTACAGTGAAAGTTTTATGATTGGAAATTTTATGTTTTAACTTTGGAATGCCAAGTGAATATATTTTAAAAATAGGTATGCCCTGAAAACTCCAGCAACAATACAGTTCAAAAATTTAAGCCATATTCTTCTGGATTCAAATCATTCTGTACAAGAGATCAGATTTCCTTTTGCTTTACTACCTTGTTGGACAATAGTACAAATGAACTGTAGTGACACTCCTTATGAAGATATGAAGAAACTGAAAACTCTAGTTTCCCCAGGACCACGAGCTGAATCACTGTGGAGGACCAAAATTCTTAAATAAGACGGAGTGAAAAAAATCTTTCAGTAATCCCAGCAAAGCAGCTGCAATTGTGAAAAGGTAAAAATTCATTCTTGTTGCATGTGAGCAGTTGATATTAATTAAAAACAAACAAACAACCTAGACTGAGTCGCACTTAAACTCACCCTGGTTTATATAGTTTTATCTCTTAGCTGAGTGGGTAAGTAATATCTAGATAAGCTTACAAAGAAATTTACATCTGTAAAATATAAAATTTTAGTTTTAGTCAAACAAAAGGAGTAAGACCTCAGTACTTCCAGTACCTTATTTTGTGTGAGAAATTCCATTGACGCCCCCTATGGACAGTCTCTATTATGAAAGGATTCTTCCATTATGGGGAAAGTAACCAAAAATATCAGTCTTATCACTGTACCCCAACCAGTGTACTTTAGTGGAACCTAGAAAACAGCCGTTTTCCCTAGGCAAATGACTATTGCCAAGGCTGATAGGATCTGTTTCTCTTACTGATGGACTTGGAGACCAAATGCTATGTTGAAATAGCTTCATCACACTACTTATTTCGGTTCCACAGAGTCAATCTCATTTATTCTTCACTTTACAGAGGAGGAGAATATGGTCCCACATCAAAAGCCAGGACTAGAATCCAGGTTGGTGCTTCATCTGTCAAACCAGCACTGCACTTCAAAAGTACGGGGGACATATTATATACTACCTTTGTAGGGCCCTTGCCTATGCTTGCAGCCTGGCATGCCTGTATTCAAAGAGCTCCCCCGAGAATCCTGCTGAGACCTAGTTGACAAATGAAGTTGAATGTTCACATAACACTGGCAAGCAAGAGGTTAACCACACTTTTTTTTTATGGTTGCATACAACAAGATACATAGAAAAACAGATCACTTTTATTTATGATCAAATAGGTACTATGTAGGACCTAGTTCAGAATTCAATACTTCATGATGGATGCTGTTGCCAAATTAAAGATACTGCTTTTCTTCTTTATGCATGCAAGTCTCAGTGAGTGGGCTTAATGAAATAAATTATAAAGAAGAACCGCTCACTGTAATCCCCCTTTTCCATGAGAGGGAGCTCCTTACAGATAGTGACAGGAAAGGGCAGCAAATCAAAGCATTATGTTAGAGATGCCAGACTAGATTACCACACACTTCCCTGCTCGCTGAGAATAGATAACAAGGTACATCTAAATCTATAGTTATATTGGAGCAACAGAGATGGCACCTAGCCATGCATCACAGCTGAAAGCATCACTTGACATATGTCATCAGAGGTTAAAATCAGAGCTGAGAAGGCAAAGTTACTTATCAAGGACAAAGGATCTAAGGCACTGATTTGGGTACCAATGAGAATGGAATAATTACTATTCCTCTGGGTTACTTAGAAATTATTATCCCTACAATAAAAATTAATTTAGAGCTAGATAAAATCAAAGGTCTACTTTTTTCTTGACAGCTCGGCCAACTCTTCTCTGATGTGCTGTATGGACACCTCATCTTTCTTCAGCTCTGCTTGCTTCAGTGCTTCCTGGTAGATCTCTTTGGCTTGCGGATATCTTTCTAAAGTAACCCAGAAGAGAAGGGAGAACAGGAAAAAAATAAGTTTAAATTGGTATAAATCTGTATTGTGTGCTTATTCAGTGACCGGCTGACAACTGCCTTATTTCACCCCCTTTTACAAAATAATACACTGGTTTAGAAAGCCTGTGACTTGGACCAGGTACTAGAGCTCCAACTCAGTGAATGCTGGAGGAGTTCTTAATTATGCCCTTCCTAAGCAAGGAGTTTAGTTATGGTGTGAGGTCTGATAAAAATGTGTCATTCTCCAATTCCACACTTGCCATCGAGTTGGTTCCAACTCTTACTGATCCTACAGGACAGCTAGAAAGAACTGCCTGTGGGTTTCCGAGACTCTCTTATGAGAGCAGAAAATTTCATCCTTCTCTGGGTGGTGGTTTCAGCCTGCTGAACTTGTGGTTAGCAGCCCAGTGGCATAGCATACTGATGTTCCAAACTCTGGTATTCCCTATCTTACATGTTCATAAACACACTATTCACATTTAGAAATCTGTAAAACATTATGCAAATAAGGTACTATCATTATAGTCTTTCTCAGCTCGTGCATAGCTACAGAAATTGTGTAAATTGAACACAATAGGTCTTTCAACCAAACGTATGTGTTTCTTACCTTATTCAGTTAGCTTTCTAACTTAAGAACTTTCTTAGTGCCCCATGCCTTACCTGAGCACCATTTCATAGTTGTATATACAGTCAACATCCTCCTTTAAAGCAAACTAAGTTTCCAAAGCTACCTACCCCTGTGCATCAGAATTGCGGCTAGATTACTGAGTACCATGTGCAACTCAGGGTGTCTAGTCTCTCTTGCCAGTTCGGACGCCCTCTGCACGTAAGTGAAGGCTTCGTCGAAGTGCCCTTGTGCATCCAGAGAGGTAGCCAGGTCGTTCATCAGCACAATGGTCTAGATACAAAGAAACGAGTCAGCCACCGCTTTAAAAGTGCGCCTACACAGATTTAACAATCTGCTACACTGACTATATACTTAAGACTTTAACCTTGCATTCCTCAAAAGGCCTTTAAGAAACTAAGCCATTACTATTCATACTGTGGACATTGGTTCAACCCTCAAATTATACAAATCTTGAGTAGGGAACAAAATGTGTTAAACTAAAAATAATAGCAAAAATCCCATGTAAAGGTCAACAATCTTGAGAAATAAGCCCCCCTGGCTTCATTGTCTCTGGAGCCACAGTCTCAAGAAGTATTTACTTAAGGAAGCTTTTTCATGAGTTTTATTAAAATGGTAAAACTAAAAGGATCCAGCTTCTTTGTTCTGCAGTAAAGCCAAGCTTTAAGTCCCGATTGTAGCTAGTCATTGGCGATTTGAATTCCATGTTTGCCTTTATGTGATTCCTCAATGATATTCCAAGAGGACTTTGAATAAGCCCGAAATCCCTTTCCTAGAGATAAATAACTCAATATCCCTCTTCTAAAACTACAACTCGTTCTGCCCTGTGACATACGGAGTTAAAGTGGTGTGTGTCCCATTTGAGGAGCACCAAGCATTCCTAGTCAAAGTTATTATCTATTCCTTGTCCTATAAGAATTTAACAGAGAGACATTAAGAGTTCACATACACTGATCTCAATTCAATGTGTTTAGTGTTCTCACAGAAATCTTTACATTGTTGTGCTCAGATTCTGCAGTATATCAGTGTTATTAATTTGTTGGTCCTACCTCCTACCCCCACACACATTTTAACTGTGGGATGAGGAGGAAGGACAAAGCTCTTCATCTTCAGAAGATTCTTACCAAAGACTTGCTGTGTACTCAAAAGCCATGGAAGCATATCGGTTTGACCAGATCTATGTTTGAGAAAAATTGTTCTGCTGTGTAAACCATGGAAATGTTCTAGGTAGACCCAGTAATTGACCAGAAATCCTAAATCCATTTTGAAAAAAGGAAGGGGGTTCACAATGCTGTGGAGTTAAGAAAATGAACTAGAGCCCCAGGAAGAGGCTACCCCTGGAACCATTTGTTCATAATCTATTCCCAATCAGTGTGGCGTTTCATGCCCCATATATGTATTGTGAAGCCTTTGCTAGACAGGCCTATGTTTTCCTCCCTTACCTGTGGGTGTGTTTCTCCTTGTATTTCTTCAGAAATCTTCAAAGCTTTCTCATACATCTTCTGTGCCTGTGATGGCTGCTTGGTGCACAGAAGGTAGCGAGCATAGGCGTCTAAGCACATGCCTAGGAGGAGGTGGGTATCAGCTTTCTCTTCCACTAAGAAGAAAAAGAGTGAAGCTGGAGTATAAAGAGTACTATATAGGAAGCACAGCAGATAAGTAGCTAACCTATCCTTATAATTTTTCTTGTTACTAAGGCTAACAAAATATTTTAACATGTGCCCACTGAATGTTTCAAGTTGGTTAAAGGCAATTTATATACTAACACCCAATGAAGGTTATATATTCCAGACCAACAGGAGTTTTGAATTTCCCTCCAGCATTTTAAATAAGAATATGAGCCAGCATATCAATCAAAATGTGGAGTAATTTTTGTTTGAAATTAATCATACTTAGTTAACAGCAGAAAGTCTAGGGCTAATGAAAAAAAAAATTAAGTGTAAAAAACAAAAAGCCAGAGAATATTCAAGAATTCTGGAATGGAAAGTCAACAGATTTAAAAAACAGTCCCTTTATTCTTTTAAATGAAGGTTGCAGTGATAAGCATCGCTTGATACATTCCCAAACTTGATTTGGCCTACACCACCTTTTCAGAAAAAAACCTGGTCAATTCCAGGGAATAAAAAAACTTTCGGACTATAGACCACAATCCAAAATAAAATGTAGGTGTTTGCTTTTGCAGACCCCCTGGATTGCCCACCCCCCCTCCCCAGACCCACAGTATTTTTCTAATTTGGGACACAGTACAGAATTGACTCTAGTCACTAGTCTAGTGTCTGAAGGAAAAATTGAAAACACATGGTGCCACATACAAGGAATTTGAGAACACAGATCTAAAAGCACAGTAACCAAATTCAACTTTCACAAAACTTCTGAAAAGACAATATAAATAACATTCAAATAGTATAAACTACAAGGAAAATTTTTTTTCACTACATACACAGCCCATGAAGGACTGACTATACATAGAGGTTATATTAAATGATCCTATATAACAAGAACTACATATTAGACATTCAACTGAAGATGCTCACTTGGTTACATACTAGCTAAACATTCCTTCATACCCAAATATCATTATGTATCATAAGTTTCTGAAAATTTACAAATGGTATACAGAATTTAAAGATTTATATACACAAGGGGTACAAAAAAAGGGAACAAAAATGGATTTTCCCCCCAAAGCTGTGTATTTAAATTTTTTTACAAAACAACCATATCACCATCAAAGTACTCTCCATTACACTTAATACATTTACCAAATCAGCGATTCCATTCTTGGAAACATTTTTCAAACTATGTATTTGACAATACAACCCCTCCCTCATTTTTTTTTCCTTCACCTCGTCTCTCTTCATTTGTGCAGAAACAAAAAGAAGTCATATGGAGAGAGGCCAGGTGCGTGGGGCAAGAGCAGCATGCTGTTTTTTTGCCCAAAACTGGCATGATGATGGCTGCATGAGCAGGTGCATTGTCGTGGTGGCTAAACCCTGTCTGCCACAAAGCAGGCCTTTTTTGGTCACACACTATTATGTATTATTTTCAAAACCTCTAAATAGAAAGCTTAATTAACAGTGTGACCTGGTGGAACAAACTCCAAGTGCACTATCCCCCTTGTTTTGTTTGTTTTTTGGGCAGTACCCCCCTTGTATATTTATATACATGTCCAAGTAGAAGATGTGAATAATTTGGGGATGAAAATTAAAAAGGATGAAACTTATCAAAAATAAATCTAAAGCTTATTTCTGCATAATTATATAGAAAAGGGTAAATTATTTATTGACTTACAAGTTGTTTCAGATTTATAAAGAAATTTTTAATTTTTTGATAAAATCCTAAATTTATAAATATAACCAATGTATGATGGTATCAACTACCACATGTAACCACCGTATTAAAAAGGAATATTGAAACAGTAAGCACATAACTAACCAGAAGCACTGTCTAAATGGCTGAGCAAAGACAAAAACTGAAGAAGAAACAGGACAAGTCTTTGCTCAGTTCAAATACAAATCAAGGTCCAAGTAGTTATTTTTTAAAAGTTGGGTTGAAGATGGGTTGAAGAAATAGTTTGAGTAAACATCTGTTAAAGTTCATTTTCACTTACAATATTTAAAGATAAGGATAATATTAATAATTTATCAAAAATATAATGGCTGGTTATTCTATTAACTATAGCTAAATACAACAAAACCCCTGAATCTTATTTCTAAGATTTATAGTATTTCTCTTTTTAAAACATGCTATTTTACATTTTACAACTGTGGGTTAAGGGCTATTTCAATAGTATAACTTAAAAAGTAAAAAGTGGCAGAAGAAAGTAATGGAAATTAATCTAGAATTAAAGAGATCTAAAATAAGTAAATAATATTTAATAAAAATAATCTAAAAGAAAAGCCCTTTAAAAAAGCATAATTAAATGAAAAATTGTATTTTTCAGTGTTAAGCATTAATTTTAAAAACACATTAACATTTTCATAAACAAAAAAATATGTAGCACATTCTGACCACAATAACAGGAAAATGCAAATATTTTGGTAAACCAAGCTTCTCTAAGAATTGGACAAAGAACGCTTTAAAATAATTTGTATTAAAAACTTAAAAATAATTTAAAAGATTATATAACAAAATCTTTAGCATATTGCCAAGAGAAAACTTTGTAGCTTTATGTATATATATATATATTTTAACAGTAATCAAAATTTTAAACAGTATTTTAAAAATATTTTTTAAACCAAAGGAGGTGTAGTGGTTACCCATTGTGCTACAATCCGAAAAGTCCATAGCCCGAAACCACCAACCACTCCATGGGAGAAAGACAGAGCTTTCTACTCCAATGAAGGATTCAGGAGTGACCAAGAATTCTACGGGGTCCCACAGCCCTTCCTCCTCCTCTTCCCCTTGTGACCCTGAGGTGATCTACCAAGATGGTTTACTATTCACTTGACCAGAAAACCACACACAGTCATGCGAATCCCGGGTCCAATCTTTGGGTCTATTTTAACAGTACCCAGGACGGTCCAGGCCGTCAAGGGTGTGCATATCTGAGAAGCCAACAAGTGTTTGAAAGATGTCACTTTGCAGAACAGTGTGTGCCCTTCTGAAGTTAAAATGGTGGCACTGGTAGTGGGCCCAGGCCAAACAGTGAGGCTGGACCAAGGGTGGGTGGCCCAAAAAGAGTGCTGAGTTTTTGCTGCACGTGCTTAAAAATGCAGAGTAATGCTGAACTTTAAAGATTTAGATGTGGATTCTCAGATCATTGAGCACGTCCAAGTGAGGTTCAGGAGTAAATTAAGCTTAAAATAAAATTAAAGTAGGAAAAAAGAAAAGGAATTAGTCTTGGAAATTCACTGGGGCATTAGTTCTACCTAGTTCTACAGAAGACTCAATGGCAGTGAGTTTGGTTTGGAGGATTTATTTTTTTCCTTTAATTATAAGTTTAAATAAAGTATCAATACAGATATATACTTCATAGATATTATTGGTTCAGTTTCAGACTATTGCAGTATAAAGCAAGCACAATTTTAAAATTTCCTAGTACATGTAAGTTATGTGCAATACTCTACTATGGTTATTAAAATGTACAATAGCATTATGAAAAAGTTTGGAATATGTGACACAAAAATAGGACGTAAGCACAGTGTTGGAAAAATGGCACACATAGCATTGCTTGACAACACAGGGCTGCCACACCTTTCAGTTTGTAAAAAATGCATTATCTGAAGCCCAATAAACCTAGGTGTGCTGGTGACAGCTGACCATTAAAACTCATTTACTTTATTCTACGTACTTGGTAAACAAAGAAATATTACATTGGGTAAATGTGCTGCAAAAGACCTCTGTAAATGCCATTTTGATGAATAAGGTGCTCTTGACCTGAGCCATGGTCTTTTAATTGCTTCATATGCATGTGAAAGCAGAACAAGAAGCCAGAAGAAGCAATACATTTGAATTGTTAGTGAAAAATAGTGTCTAGATTATCAGGAAGAATGAACAAATTTGCCTTAGCAAAAATACAGCCAGAATACTTCAGAGAAACAAGTTGGTCAGACATTAATTAATTCACTTACTTCAAACATGCCATGAAAGTGGACCAATCGCTAGAATAAGGACATTATGGTTGGTAGGTGGTTAGCAAAATAGAAGGACAGATAGCTGTAACAATGAACTAAACAGACTAATGATTATGAATATGGTACAGGGCAGGGAAACATTATATTCTATTATACATACAAAGAGGCTTCAAATAAAATCAGCCCATGAAGCAAACAAGACATTACAGGACTTTTCACTCAAAACATTGGCAAATGGGGGAGCGATCAAGGAGCACAGTATCTAGGAATACAAAAACGACTATATAATACCTGCAGCTTCAAAAAGTTCACAGAAAACTTTTTTGAAGCCCCCTCATATCAATATTAACACATGAGGGTTACAAAATGCACATATATGCTCAAGGTTATTTGTAGGGATATGTAAATATGTTTGTGCAGCACATACAAATATATACACACGTGATGGATCGAATTGAAACATTGTCAGATATGATAAATCCCTTGTGTTAGAAGGCATTCAAAACATGACTGAGGAAGAACTGCACTCTCAAAGTTGTCAGCCATTAATGACGGGACCGGCATCTGCATGACTCAAAATGAGAAGCAAAAGCTGCAAACATCATGAGCAAATAAGCTGGATTACATCAAGAATGTGGAATCAGGATTGGAGGAAGGCTTATTAATAACAACCTGCAATATGCAGATGACACAACCTTGCTTGCTCAAAATGTGGAAGCACTTGAAGATTAAAGATTGCAGCCTTAAGTATGGATTTCAATTAAATGTTAAAAAAAACCCAAATCCTCACAATTTAAAGGTCAAAGAGAAAATCAGATAATACTTTGAGATAAATGAAAACAAAAACACAGCTGTTGCGGTAGTGACAGAAAAGATCTAAAATCAATGACCTTAAGATACTAGAAAGAGGAAAGAAAACTAATGCCAAACCAAGCAGGAGGGAATAAGATTAGAGTAGAAATAAATGAAATAGAAAAATAAGAACAAAATCAACCAAAAGCAAAGGAAAACTACAAATTAAAGA